AGTCGGGAGGGAGAGCTTCGGTGAGCCATTCTCTGCAAATACGGGCCAATCGGTGGTCGACGAGGGAAATGAGGCCGAAGTGAAGGCAGAGTCGTAACCCGATTCACCGGAACTACTGCTGTGAACCTCCCGCTTGAAAAGTCTCGGACTTATGTCGTTTGAACACATTTTCCTGATGTCGTCGGTCACTCTCCAGAACTTTGCGATCACATCGTCCTGTGCTCTGGTCATCGATGGACTCGCACTCGGAGGGGGAGGTATGATAAACGAAGACAAGTACTGCTCATCGTTGGACATATGGTCGTTAACCATCGGCGGTGGTCTCACAGTCATTGACTCAATGAAGTCATCGATGTCTTGCGGCATGTATTGCAAGTGTTGGCTCGTGTTTGAGTTGCGATCGCTGGCCGTGGACTGCATTTCGGACAAAGTGTCGCACAAGTCGTCCAATTCGGCCACAACTCGGGCCGAGTCGTCGGTCGCAAAGTCAGTAAAGTCTATGTCCTCCTTATAAGGCGTCGGCGGGTCATCAGTGGTGGGAAACCCTATTCCAGAACCCATGAACTCGACCTCCAGGCCGTCGGGCGTGTCTGGAGGTGGGAGTGCCGTCAAGTCAATCATCTCGGAGTCCAAACATATATCGTTTGAGAACTTGAGTTTGAATTCGGCCTCAGATTTCAATTGCTGGAGACTATCCATGAGGTCCTGTTCCGCGCGACTCAGGTTCGGGTAGACATCAGGACTGTGTAAACCAAAACTCGTGGACTGTGTCCGGGGGCCGGACGTACCGTTCACAGTAACCCCACCGTTAGACAACTGCAACGCATTCATACTGTTCTGGATATTAATCCTATGCAAAGGACTTTCGTTAGGACTCATGAGACTATCGGTGTCGCTCTCATTGGCAGATAATTCTCCATTAATGACATCCCGTCCTATTGAGAGGCAACACATTCGCAGATAAGTATTCACTCAAAAATGTTTTTCATTAAAAAATCAATTAAATAATGAAAATACCGTTTTGTTTGTCATTAGAACCGTTGATATCTGTGTTACCATTCATTTGCGTCGTCAAGAGTAGCAGAGAGTCGGTCGGTTGGAGTCGAAGTGATTGGTCCCACGGGTTCTGCTCTGTCTTCTCGACCGCAACGGCTGCCTCTGTCTGCCGATCGCTGACTTCTTTGGCCTCATTGAGCATCTCATCGGTGGCCAAGTAGTGCTGGGCGTCGGCCACTATTTGGTTCATTTCGGACACCCTTTTCATAATATCCTCATTTTTGACGCCCGGTTCCGAGGCTTGAGACTCGAGTATTTCCATCGACACCAGCGATGGTAAGTCGATGCCATTGGACGTGACTTTTTCATTCATATTGTGATCGACTGATGCATAGCTTGTATCCACAGTGGACTCAATAAAGTGTTGATTATTTTCACGAATCTCTTTCAAATCTGAAGGCATATAACGTGGCGGTGGTATAGATAAGTCGATTTCTCTGACCGAGTCGTTGGGGCCGTAACTCCATTGGGTCTCCCGTACGGTATGTAAACCACAATAACTCGGAGCTGAGAGTAAAATAGCAAATAAGTTATCAAATATTAATTGAAAAGACTATAATAAAAGCTATTTTGAAGCTTAAATTAATGGAAAGTCATACCAAA